AACCCTAGTTTGATTTTTAATTTTTTTTACTTAAACTGGTTTTGTTAGACCAACGTCAAACTGGTTTTGTTAGACCAACGTCTTACCTTAAATTGGTTTATTTTAACCCATCTCTACTCTTCCAGAATCAAACTGGTTTAGTCAAAACCGAATTTGTAAGGGAGTAACAAAACCACCCTCGTCCATATAGATTGAACAAATCAATAGAATAATGATATTTGTATTATAGCTTTTATATTATTTTAGTACCGCCAAAAATAAAAGAGTATTGATATATGTCCTATAACTTTTGTATTATTTTGGTACCACCACAAATAAATTAATAGAGTAATGATATCTGCCCAATAATATTTATATTATTTTAGTATCACCACAAATAAAAGAGTATAACCATAATGACTTATCACTAGGTCTGCTAAACCGTATTCGTATCCGATGCAATATCTGTAACCATATCTATTAGGATGTGAATATGGTTACTCAAATCTATAACCGATAGAATATGATTATGGATATGATTTTGTAGTGAAATATCTGTATCTGTATCGAAATATCCGAATACATATTAGTCATACTCTTACGATAGTTTCGATTATTAGATTATGGATTTCTGGTTAATTTTGATAATCAAGATGTCTAATCTTAATTTTTCAGTTATAATGGAGATATTAACGAACTCTTTTGTATCACATGAACTATGTTTTTCTCAATATTATCTAGTTTTCTCATATCTGTTTTGTATCTGCATGCATATCCGCTTATATATCCTTATGTATATCCATAACCGTATCCGATTTTAGCGGATATGGTTATAAATTTTCCTTACCGAAGTATTATCTGTATCCGTATCCGTGATAAGTAAGTGAATATGGATATGATAAGTATCATATCCGAGTCGTATCCGGAATGAATGCAACCCTAATTATCACTTTCTTATTTCAAATTTTAGAAAAGGCACTCACGTATTTATTAGTGGGAAAATGATTTAAGGATCCAAAATATGGGACCAAAGGAGGGGATATGTGAGATGTGTCCCCTCCCTATTGCATAATGAGTTGGCATGACCAACTCATTATGCAATAGGGAGCTATTGCATAATGAGTTGGCATGACCAACTCATTATGCAATAGGGAGGGGACACCTCACCTGTCCCCTCAAGTGGTCTCATATTTTGGGTCCGCACTCTTTGATAGTATAAAGTTATATTATGATTTAACATTTCCCAAATTAATTTGCACGGTGAATGTTTCCAAGTGGGCTCTAAAATAAATGCAGTCTACATTTATTCTTTTGTAATTATAACGGTTTTTCTATAGAGTGCCCTTGGGCACTCTATAAGAGAGGAGAGAGATAGAGAGAAATGAATGAAGAGATGATCCCAATGCAAATCAGGGGGTCCCCCTCCTCATTCATTTCTCTCTATCTCTCTCCTCTCTTATAGAGTGCCCAAGGGCACTCTATAGAAAAACCGTAATTATAAATATGATCAATCACAGGAAGCTAGAGGGTTGCGTGCTTGCTTGATCTATAGAGAAGTCTGCAGCCAAACCGTGCAAGTATGAACTCTCGGGAGCTGTGCAACCTGACAAGCTCACAAGAGGAGGCGCGCACTATTTATGGTAGTTTAATCTTTTTACATGTATTTACGAAACTGTTTCTTTTGTTTTATGGAAACAAAATTGTTTCAATACTTGAAAAATAATGTATTTTATAAAAAAAATTCTGTAGCGTACATAATAATTCTACATTCTTTTTAGCTTTATCTAATGGGGTCATGTTTACATGGGATTGTGATCCTCTACTCATCAATAGTGGCTCCTAATATTTACTAATGTATCTTCATCTTTCATTTTGTGGGACCACCTTTCATTTTGTGGGACCATATTTCATTTGGTGCTTATTCACAAAATAAAATTTGAAGATGCATTAGCAAATGTTAGGAACCACTATTAATGAGTAGAATATCCCAATCTATTTTCATGATGTTTATGAGTAGTTTGATGCAATCCTAGGGTGATCTCAGCCGATATGGACTAGTTTGATCATATGAGAGTTAAAATTGACGGAACTTCGAACTTGTCAGAATTACGCAAAAACCACTCGTTTCAAAGCTATTACAAAATTGTTAGGTTAACACGAACGCCTCTATCGAATTCACGAAATTCATTCGTTTTGGGCTGGAAAATCACGGTCAAAGATTTTTCTTTTTATTCTAGGTGGGTATTAACAGTTCAAACAAACATACCCCATTTCGGTTGATAATTAATATGGAGAATTTGTGTTACTTATAAGAATGATATTTTTTTTGTCCTTATTTTTCTATTATTGATAAAAAACATTGTTGATGTTAAATAATCAAAACAGTCAAATATATGGTGGGGGTGAGATTGATTAGGAGCCGCCCACTTCTCCGAATATCTGGTTTTGAGTTGAGTAGCTCCAGCCTGCACAAATAGCAACTCGTGAGAGGATGAAGACTGGTTTCCCCGTGGTTCCTCCGACGATCAAATCAGTTAATGAACTTAATTGGAAAAATAAAGAACTGTGTGAGTTCTTTAGTGTACTGCAGTAAAATTATCAGATATTGCTTGGAAAATTAGCATTAAAATCCCTCTGAAAATTCCTCCATCATGTTGAGAATAATACCTCTATTTATAGTGGTGCTGAAAGGGTAGAACGGTCACTTCGGTCGAGCACATGATGACGGCAAATAAGTATGGCTTGGCAAGCACCTACTTTACAGGTGTCGGTCGGCGAGTGGAGGAGAGGTCATCTCAACATTTAATATGAAGTGATTGGGGGCATGGTGATGTCGACGTGGTCCGATGTGTCATGAAGATTTTCAAGGCTAGAGGTATTATGGGGTCTGCCAAGCATTAAATGTGACGCCGACGTGTTGTCAGCGAGAAATGCTCGAGTTTGAAGTCGTCCTTTAGTTTGGCCGAGAAGTAGCGCCTTTCGAGTCGACCCCGCGAGGTATTGAATAACTGATCGAGTGGGCTCGTGGCGACCCCGCGAGGCATTGAATAACTGGTCGAGTGGGCTCGTGGCGAGTCGTCTTCGACAAGATGACCGATAAGTACCACCATTCGAGTCGGCCTAAGGAGATGACGACTCGGCGGGTCGGCTAAGTTGGGATCCTTAGGTGCCCTGACCGTCAATTTGGTTTGAGCGGTGCATGTAGGGGGATACTTGTTCGTTTGTGGCAAAATGCCGTACTTTGACGACTGAAAACACCATAACAGATATTATTCTTAAATATTTTCCTTTTATTTTTAAGTCTATAAAAGACTCATTTTGAACGTAGACAAATAGTTTCTTTCTAAGAACAAAATTCTATTTGCTGATTGTGGCAGTTTAATCTGTATTTTTTCGCTTTCCGTGTCTCTTAGCTTATCTGTTTGCGCCTCTAACAAGATTGCATCAGTGTCAAAAATAGAAATAAGCTACTGAAGAAATGTTTTGACGACATATACGCTCAAATTATAAAGTCTGCAATAAAAGTAGAAGACGTCTCTTCTATGATTATGAGCATGAGACAACAATAAAGACAACAATAAATCCAAAATTCCCGACATTTATGCATGAATGTGTGGACACGTACGAATCTTCTGCAATTTGGAGAGGAATCTAATTAAGAAGTTCATTAAAAAATAGTTAATTACAAAAATCTACATGGCCTTTTAAAGAGCAACAATGCTATTTGGCACGCAAGGCATCACGCAGGACATCAAGTGGATCCAGCCACGTTAGCAAATTAATTCTGTGAAAAAAAACACCCGTGACCCCCTATTCTCTCTCCTCTCCTCAAATTAATTTCCCAGCTACACCCGTGACACATTCCTCCGCCCTCCCATCTCCCCGGCGATTCGGGCGACCACCACCGGAAGTGAGCCCGACCTCAAGTGAGAAGGACCGCCATCTCCGTCCGTCGCCGGAGTCAGCCCCTCGCTCGAGTTCGCCGTAGTCCCCTCCCCAACAGATCTAGGGTTTGGCTCATTTCTCAAACTTTAATCTTTCAAGTTAGGATTTTTTTTTCTGTAGATTTCTCATCTAATTTCTAGGGAATGCATGTTGATGCTTTAGATTTTTGTAAATTCATGATTCAATTTTATGTTGAGGTTTGCGTTTTTTGCTTAGTTTGATTCAAATGTGGACTGGCTTTTGATTAGGCTTATTGTTGTTGGATTTGTTGATTTATCTGCTTTCTGACTTAGCCAGTGATCCTGACATCCTCCGTTTCTTTTTTTTTTTTTTGGGATTTTTTGGTAGTTTTGTTTTGTTTAATTTGTGCACCAGTTTCAATTTTACAAGGTAAGGGAAAAAATAGAAAGAGGAAAATGAAAAAAGAAAGAAAGAAAAGGAGTGTATCTATTGACCTTTAAAAAAATTCTGATTGAGCTTACAGTAAAGATTGAGCAGAATATTACAAACTTTCTGATTCAATTAGATGAAAATATTTCAGTTTCTGTCAACTATTTTTCTATAAAATTTATTGATGATCAATTAATTTGAACAGCCATGACAGATATTTAGGAGTTTGATGATTTAGATGATGATGACTTGAATAATTGCTCGGTTAATGAGAGATATGAGTTGCCTCAGCACAGTGATCAGCAGATTGAGCAGAATGAGCCTAAAATTGGGATGGAGTTTAATGAGATTGATGAATTGTTTGAGTTCTACAAAGACTATGCAAAGAGCCGTGGATTTCCAATTAAAAAACTATCAAGAAGGAAGAATGAAATGGGGATTGTTAGAAGTATAACTTTAGTATGTAGTCGAGCTGGCAAATATAATAGTACTTGTCAAAATCTCTTAAAACCACAAGCAAACTACAGAATTGGGTGTAATGCAAAGATAGCAATAAGTTAAATCTGGACGGAAGATGGAAAATATCTGCGGTTGTTCTGGAGCATAATCATGGCCTTAGCCCTGATAAAAGTCGTTTCTTTCATTGCAATCGAAGAATTAGTGCACATGTTAGACATCAAATTAATCTGAATAATCAAGCCGGAATCAAAATGAATAAATTTTTTGGCTCACTAGTACATGAGGCTGGTGGATATGAGAATCTGTTGTGTGGTGAAAAGGCTTGTAGGAACTTGGTTGATGATTCAAGGCGTTTACGTATCGACGAAGGTGATGTTTCAGCGATTATGAAATATTTTTCAAGGATGATTGCAGAAAATTCAAGTTTCTATTTTGATATTGAATTGGATAATGAGGATCATTTGAAAAATGTATTTTGGGCAGATGGTAGGAGCATAGAAGCTTACAAAGAGTTTGGTGAGGTCGTCACTTTTGATACCACCTACTTAACAAATAAGTTTAATATGCCATTTTGCACCATTTGTTGGCGTTAACCATCATGGGCAATCAATTTTACTTGGATGTGAGTTGATTTCAAAAGAAGATAAATTTACTTGGATGTGGGTTGATTTCAAAAGAAGACACAGAGACTTTCATATGGCTATTTAGGAAGTGGGTTGAATGCATGGATGGATGTCTCTGCAAGGGATAATAACTGACCAAGTAAGAGCCATGAAAAATGCAATTGAGATTGTTTTTCCAAACACTAGGCACAGATGGTGTTTGTGGCATATAATAAAGAAGTTGTCAGAAAAGTTAGGCAGGTACACTAAATATGAAGCCATCAGTTCTACCATGAAAAGAGTGGTGTATGACACACAAAGTCCACAATAGTTTGAAAAACAATGGAATAAAATGGTTGACATGTATGGATTGGAGGATCGTGATTGGTTAGGTGAATTGTACGATGAGAGAAACCGATGGGTTCCTTGTTTTGTCAAAAGTTGTTTTTGGGCAGGAATGTCAACTACTCAGCAAAGAGAAAGCATGAATACTTTTTTTGATGGATATGTCAATTCAAAACAAGTTTGAAATAGTTTGTTGAGCAGTATGAAAATGCATTAAGAAGCAAGGCAAAAAAGAAATTGTGGGCTGATGCAGAGTCATTTTCTAAAGTAAAAGCTATTGCAACAGCTTATGAAATGGAGAGTCAAATTCAGGGAGCCTACATTTTAGCAAAGTTTAAAGAGTTTCAAGCTGAATTCACTGGAAAGATATATTGTGAAATTGTAAACTATCAGGAGGGAGCAGGGATGCTTGAGTATATCATTCGGGAGGCTTTTTGGTTGGAGGGTGGCAAAAGGATTCCTAAACTCTTCACACTATCGTTTTGTGAAAAGGATTGTGAAGTTCAATGTAGTTGTTAGTTGTTTGTGTTTAAAGGTATGTAGACATGCCCTAACCATTCTTATCCGTCACGAAGTCAACTTTCTTCCGGAAAAGTACATTCTAAGAAGGTAGAGAAAGGATGTGAGGCGAGGCCACTCGAAGATGAAAGTCAAATTTAATACTTGGGTTGTCATACATGAACAATTACGCTATCGCGGGTTATGTCTTGCATTTAGCGAGGTTGCTGATCTTGCTGCCCAAAACAACCATGAATATGATGGTGTTAAAAATGGATAAACACCAAATTTAGAGAACTGCAACAAATTGAATCAAGTCAGAAAGAAAAAGAAGTATCAAAGAATCATGATTTTGTGGAAGAAGAAAAGGAATATGAAAAGGAGGAAAATGAAAACATATTGGACCCTCTCTCTCAGACTCAGAAAGGTCAGCCTAGGCAAAACAGAATTAAGCCACCAAGTAGGCGAAGAAAGAAGAAAATTGATCATAATGCTAATGTGCCAGTCAACAATCCATCACAAGCTCAAGTGGGTGTTTTCTCCTACACACAAGATAGCAAGGTTTCAAATGCTTATATGCCATAACCAAATACTGTGCATCCACGGGGAATGTATTGACTGGCACAACAATTAACAAACGAATGTATGCAGTTGGTAAGATATAATCCAATGTATTATATCAACATCTTTATTTTCTATATTATAATAGGATTTAAACACCATAGCTACACCCTTATATCTATATGATGTGTTACAACCTCAATTTCCAATAAAGGAGATCTACATGCGATGGGGTTAACACCTATGTATGGATTGCATCAAATCTATGGTGATCAGAGAAACAGGATGTGATGCCTTAACAGTGAGTTTAGTGTTTATTTTTGTTTAGCTATGTAGAAATTCAGGAATTGGTACATTGAAAAATCTTCATAAGTTGTGAAAATTTATTCTTTGTTCTCTAAAAATTTATATTATGCAGGTCCTAGTAGGCGATATTTGGGTATCATGCAGACATAATAGGAGCAGAATAGGCGCGCTCTTCTTCAACTTTTGTGCAAACCAGCGACTTTGTTTCATCCAGACAGAATAGGAGCAGAATAGGAGCGAATATAGGCTTGTCATCCTTGCATCAGAATTGTGTTTCATATTGTGCTTCAGATATTGGATGTTTTCAGATATTTGTTTCAGACAATCAACTCAAGTTAGAATTTTAGTTGAACATCGTGTTTTACCATGAATCTTTTATTATGTAATCTAAGAATTTCTGAGATGTAATATGAAATCACAGCTTACAGCTGAAATTTGCAGTCAGTAAAGTGTACACAGATTTAGTTTTGATTGGAATTTACAGGCATATTAACTTGCTACAGATATCTGATACAAACTACATCCTGTATGAAGTCGTATATGTGATCAGAGATCTCATTTAGTGTTTCCTGGTTGATGAAGTGGCCTACTCCTTTCATCACAACTACATCCTGTAGGAATGGAACATCTCTTTTGAAGCCACCTTTGTGTGTAATTTTTGACATTCCCGCTGTTGTAAGTGAGGTCCTGATCCCCAACTATAAACTTGACTGGTACTTGTATCTTGACCCCAGTCCACGGTGCTGTGAGCTCCTCGTTCCTACAAAGTTCAACAATGCTCATATTGAGTTCTATCTTCCAAGTAGTAAAATCATTTAACCCAAAATATTAATCTTAAGTAGAGAGTCATTCATGTGGAATTTTGTGAGCTACATGGAAAGCAGAACACTGTGATTAGCAACCTTCAATTAAAAATTAAGTGCCAATAGTATAGTGCAGAGTAAGCTCGCAAGGTAATTTGACAAAGATGACTTGATTTACCATCTTCAAAGTTCAAACAGAACCAATAAAAGGCGACTTTTTAAACATGCAACAAGAAAGGAAACCATTAGGATTAACAGCTGGGATGTAATCTAAGAAGTCTTTCCATAGAACAAAGATTTTCATTACAATTCCTAAGGTAATTGTCACCTAACTTTTCATTACAATTCCATAGAACAAAGATTTTCATAGAACATAGTTGAGTTAGCAAAATATTACAAGGTCCAAACTAAAAACATACATAGAACAAAGATTTTCATAGAACATAGTTGAGTTAGCAAAATATTACAAGGTCCAAACTAAAAACATACCCTTACTTGGATATTATTACAAGAAAGATTGAGTTAGCAAAATATTACAAGGTCCAAACTAAAAACATACCCTTACTTGGATATTATTACAAGAAAGATAGACATCATGAAACCAACAAAAATTCTAAGTAGAAAGCCTTTTTCCTGGATATGTTTCTTCCAAATTACATTTTCTTCATGTATTCTTGATCTCAATTTCTCAATATTTTTAATTGAAAGCTCTTCATACTTGCGAATAAATATATTCATTGAGTCGCGAGCGTAACTTGGTACTTCGCCATGATCTAACCAAGTCCAACAATTACAAGTGTTTGTAGCACAAATTCCAAATCCACGACACGGATGCCCTAGGGTGTAAGAAGTCTTCATTTGCATTGGAATTCCATAATAGCAATTAAGAATCTCGTATGGAGGTGGACGATTCCACATTGTAGCATATAGCCTCCTATCGAAGGACCTTGCCCGTTTGGAAAAGAATGATTGTTAAGAAGATGTTGACAAAAAGATTCTATGGGAAATAATCATAGTTAGAATGTAACCCACCATAATTAACACCCACTGTAATATTCTGCATATAATGATGCTTAGGCTCAAGAACATTTTCAATCTCTATGCATTACCAATCATCCTGCAATTGACCATAGTATTTGAATAATTGGAAACTGTGAATGATACTCATGATATAGAGTAATTCCTTGATGTAACGGTTCATCAAGGATAAGATCATGGTGCCACCTCCCAGTTGTGCAGTTCATACAAGGAAAGAAAATAGACTAAAATGTCACTAAATCAGCTATTAGTTTTTTTCCCTTCAAGTGATAAAATCAGGCTACAGTTGAACAAGCCCTGGATATATTTTTAATTACACTCTTTTTTGAAGTGGTGAACCACAATTCCTTTAGACACTTTCTCCAGCATGAACCAAGAGTCACTTCAGCTGCAAAGACAAGGCCTCTTCGATATGTAGTTATATCCTAATGTCTTCTTATATTTCCATAACAAAAATACAAAACCAAAATCGGCAAGAAAATTCCTGACATCCTCCCTTCCCCGGTTTTATTATACTAGTATGGTGCACGTGCGTTGCACGTGTATTTAATTTTACATTTAATTTTTGTGATGATACTTTTTGTGTGTGTGAACTATCCTTTGAAATGATCATCATGAGTAATTTCAGAAAACTCAAATACAAAAACCCACCAATCATTTGATGTTTGCTAAGAAATTTTTTAGGGATAGCAAGTTTAATGGATAATCATGATGCTCATTTAAAGATATATAATCACGCTGCACGTGGACATAAGTATGAAAGTAATTTTTATATCAAAATAAAAATAAATAAGCTTTTATGTGTGTTGCATGTGAATTGGAAGTCTAATACATTAAACTTATTATCGGTGTTGCATGTGAATTGGAAGTCTAATACATTAAACTTATTATCGCAAGTAATGTCTATTAGCACATGTCTAAATAAGTATATAATCACATGTTTAAATAAGTATATAATCAGCAAAGATTACTACATCCACAATCAAAATCTAAGCTTTTATGTGTGTTGCATGTGAATTGGAAGGCACTGGCAAAGATTACTACATCCACAATCAAAATCTAAGCTTTTATGTGTGTTGCATGTGAATTGGAAGGCACTGGAAGTCTAATACATTAAACTAGTAATGTCTATTAGCACATGTTTAAATATGTTTAAATAAGTAACCTACATACTATTCACTTAACTTATGTATGTAATCAGCAAAGATTACTCCATCCACCATCAAAATTTACACCTACATACTATTCACTTAACTTATGTATGTAATCAGCAAAGATTACTCCATCCACCATCAAAATTTATCCGAACAACAACAATAATATCTCATTATATCATTTCATTCATTTTTTTCATCTATATTTATTTTACTTGTTAGTTTTTTAATTACTCATTATTCATGAAGGATATGATGGATTAAATGTTGAAAATTTCAAACTCAATCAAGTGCAAATTTTTGACTAAATTTAGTTGTCAAAATTCACTTAAAAATAATGAGAAAAAATATTTATTATGGAGAATGTGCTATATATATAGTTTACATGACCCAAAAAATAAGGAAAAATAAAGTTCTATCATATATATTTCAACGTTTTCTTTTGTTTAGTATATTAATTTATAACATACCAATCATTAAATATCACACACTATGTTAAAATTTTACAAAATGGATTTTCAAGTAATATATAGTTAGTGGAACGCTTGCAATCTCTTATTAAGAAAATGAGTTAATAATGTAAATGAATTTGTAAGTCAAGTGTTTTTAATCCCATCATTCCTACATTGGGATTTTAGGATACATCAAAAAGGCATTTGACATATATCTACATTGCACACATTCAACCAAGTATATGCATTCCATACAGATATTCCTATATATATAATTTTCACATTGTTGTCAATAAATAGTTATTTACTGCTTTCATGTTACTTGACATTAAGAACTATTATGTGAATTTACTTTGTGCCCGATAAACTCCAAATTACACCACAAACTTCCATAAATTACACATAATAGAAAAGCAATTTCTACAAATTTATAAACCTCAAGTAAATAATTTCTCAAAATAACAAAAAAAAATGATATAACTCCTAATTACACCACAAACTTCCATTAATCACATGCACATTAAAAAAGTAACATCTACAAATTTATGAACCTCAAGTAAATAAAATTTCTATCTACATGTTTTTACGTAACCATCCAACACTATTTTTGAAAGCTATAAGTAAATTATAATAATAGTATAAACTATGATTACCTTTTTACTAACCTGTGATGATTGTCTTTTCTTTCCTTCCTCAACCTTTTTCTCCAAGTTCTATTTTCTATTTGATGCGGGATATGTTTGACTAAGGAAATTAGGTTAATTTATAGGAATCACATGACCTTTAAATTCTAAACTGAAATTTTCATTTGTAATCATGCATCATTGATAGGTTGTAAATGAGTGTAACAGTAGTGGAAATAATTTTCAAAATAATAAATGTATGTCCTTAATTTTTTATAAGTGAAGAACGAAAAGGCTAGAGACAATTTGTACCTTTATCCTAATGATGACATTAATATTGGATTAGTGGAGGGGTTACAAAAATTAGAAGTTAATATTAGTGGACAATTAATATGAGAGTTATGACATTATTAGAATGTATGCATATATATGTATGTGTTTATATGTATGGATGCATGTGTTTTATGTATGTATGTATATGGTTTGGAGGGAAATTTTAGAAGAAATGTTTTAACATGCCAATCCACTTTTATAATAGTATTAGATTAGATAAATAAGTAACCTACATACTATTCACTTAACTTATGTATGTAATCAGCAAAGATTACTCCACCCACCATCAAAATTTACCCGAACAACAACAATAATATCTCATTATATCATTTCATTCATTTTTTTCATCTATATTTATTTTACTGGTTAGTTTTTTAATTACTCATTATTCATGAAGGATACGATGGATTAAATTTAGAAAATTTCAAACTCAATCAAGTGCAAATTTTTGACTAAATTTACTTGTCAAAATTCACTTAAAAATAATGAGAAAAAATATTTATTATGGAGAATGTGCTATATATATAGTTTACATGACCCAAAAAATAAGGAAAAATAAAGTTCTATCATATATATTTCAATGTTTTCTTTGTTTAGTATATTAATTTATAACATACCAATAATTAAATATCACACACTATGTTAAAATTTTACAAAATGGATTTTCAAGTAATATATAGTTAGTGGAACGCTTACAATCTCTTATTAAGAAAATGAGTTAATAATGTAAATGAATTTGTAAGTTAAGTGTTTTTAATCCCATCATTCCAACATTGGGATTTTAGGATACATCAAAAAGGCATTTGACATATATCTACATTGCACACATTCAACCATGTATATGCATTCTATACAGATATTCCTATATATATAATTTTTACATTGTTGTCAATAAATAGTTATTTACTGCTTTCATGTTACTTGACATTAAGAACTATTATGTGAATTTACTTTGTGCCCGATAAACTCCAAATTACACCACAAACTTCCATAAATTACACATAATAGAAAAGCAATTTCTACAAATTTATAAACCTCAAGTAAATAATATTTCTCAAAATAACAAAAAAATGATATAACTCCTAATTACACCACAAACTTCCATTAATCACATGCACATTAAAAAAAGTAACATCTACAAATTTATGAACCTAAGTAAATAAAATTTCTCGAAATAAAGAAATGGAACTCCGCTCCATTTATCCAAAGGAAGTTAAAAACACAATCAATACTCCTTGCATTATTAGAATGTATGCATATATATGTATGTGTTTATATGTATGGATGGGGTTACAAAAATTAGAAGTTAATATTAGTGGACAATTAATATGAGAGTTATGACATTATTAGAATGTATGCATATATATGTATGTGTTTATATGTATGGATGCATGTGTTTTATGTATGTATGTATGTGGTTTGGAGGACATTTTTGGAAGAAATGTTTTAACATGCCAATCTACTTTTATAATAGTATTAGATTTAAAAAAATTCTATGAACATTAAATTTGCAACTACAACGTAAAGTAAATAGATACACCAACCCTTCTTTGTAGCAAGATTGCATGTATTTGATTCTTAAATCTTAATGCCTAAATATCTAGTTATTAATTTTTTTTAAGGGTCAATAGATACGCTCCTTTTCTTTCTTTCTTTTTTCATTTTTCCCCTTTCTATTTTTTCCCTTACCTTGTAAAATCTAAACTGGTGAACAAATTAAATGAAGGGCTTGTTTGGATTTGGAGGGAGTGAAGGAAAGTTAGGGGAACCTAGGGGAAGTTAAGTTAAGGGAAGGGAAGGAAATTTCTAAAACTTGTTTGGGAAACAAGTAAGGTAAATCAAGGGGAAGTTATTTCACCCCGTTTGAAAAGTGTAATAACGGGAAGGGAATGTATATAAATTGACATAAATACCCTCACATATTATTAAGTTATATTGTTGTTAGAAATTAAATATCAAATATGCATCTATTGCTATATATTATTATTGTCATCATCTCCTTCCACATTGTATATCCACAATCAACACAAATCAGATAGATATGAAAAATTTTGGAGTATAGTTGGAATGAAAAATAATAACCGATATATTCATCGATGAGACTACAAAACAATACAAAGCTTATTTTCACTCTTCTTTTGCAAATATACCCAGATATATTCATCGATGAGACTACAAAACAATACAAAGCTTATTTTCACTCTTCTTTTGCAAATATACCCAGTTAGCAGAGCAACGACCAACTAAATGATGAAACTCAAATACTTACACGAACACAAAACTACTATAACACTTGTCATTCAAGCTGCAAAAATCCCTAATTTTGAACGGTCTTTTACAAATTTTATTGCTCCATCAAATAAGCTCAGTTTGGATGATACAAGGTAAATTCATCAACAAAAACTAAAAAACAAATTGCGTTTATTAATACTATCCAGCATCAACCTCATTAACCAACATCCCCGTGAAAAATGTTCCAATGAAGCATTACGGAGAAATAAAATAAAACCTTTTTTCCACAAAGTAGCTATTTATGCTCATATTCTCTCCACAGTTGACATAAGACCCCTTCAAAGAAGGGAGGAAGAACAAAAGCTTCAACCGCTTTCACTCATTTCTTCAATTTCGTTGAGTTATCCAAGGCCAAGTCCTGCAGGTTCAGTAACAGGAGAGAAAATCTTATCTTGAAAAATCAAAACCCTTGCTCAAACTACCAAGTCCTGCAGGTTCAGTAACAGGAGAGAAAATCTTATCTTGAAAAATCAAAACCCTTGCTCAAACTAGGCGAGAGATTGAGGCGAGACAAGACGCGGAGGAGAGAAGACGCAGAGGCGAGATAAGACGCGGAGGAAGAAGAAATGGCAGAGGCGCTTGCAACAAGAGTTTATGCTGTGGGGTTTCTGTGATCAAATTTTAGCCGTTAGATTTTGATCTTAGCTAGGGGTAAATATGTCTCTCTACATTTGTTGTATTCCCCCCTCTTTACCTTCACCCCCATTACACCCCAAATTGGGAGGAAAGAAATCATGGTATTTTCTCACCTCCTTTCACCTCCTCTCACCCATATTAACTTGCTATATTTACTTCCCAAACAAGGTTAAAAGTTACCCTCCCTTCCCCTCACCCCCATTACCCTCAATCCAAATAGGGTCAAAATAAAACTACCAAAAAATCCCAAAAAACAAAGAAATGGAGGATGTCAAGATCACTGGCTAAGTCAGAAAGCAAATAAATCAACAAATCCAATAACAATAAGCCCAATCAAAAGCTAGTCCACATTTCAATTAAACTAAGCAAAAAACACAAATTTCAACATAAAATTGAATCAGAAATTTGCAAAAAAATCTAAAGCATCAACATGCATTCCCTAGAAATTTGATGAGAAATCTACAGAAAAAAATCCTAACTTGAAAGGTTAAAGTTTGAGAAATAAGCCAAACCCTAGATCTGTTGGGGAGGGGACTACGATGAACTCGAGTGAGGGGATGACTTCGGCGACGGGCGGAGACGGCGGTCCTTCTCACTTGAGGTCGGGCTCGCTTTCGGCAGTGGTCGCCTGAATCGCCGGGAGATGGGAGGGTAGAGGAATGGGTCACAGGTGTAGATGGGAAATTAATTTGAGGAGAGGAGAAAGAATAGGGGGGTCACTGGTGTTTTTGTTCACAGAATTAATCTGCTGACGTGGTTGGATCCGCGTGATGCCCTGCGTGATGTCATGCGTGCCAAATAGCATTGTTGTTTAAAGAGTTGTGGTAAATTTCCATTAACTTTTTTCTTTTTTATTCTAAATTACACTAAACCTCCTAAACTTTTGGAGTTGTTGCATATAATCCCTAGGGAGTGTTTTATTTCACTAAATTTCACATGAAAGTTTCTTATTAAATCTCTAAATTAGCACCATAGGTTCTAACATATCTTGTGGCAAGCATGTGCCAAAAAAGATGAAAATAATTTCTCAGTCCAAAAAATTACCTATTTTCCTTTTTAATAATAGGGTATTTTTTGGGACTAATAAAAAATCTATCTTTTTTTGTCATATGTTTATCCGTGACACATTAGAATTGATTTTTCTGATGAGGGATTAAAATATAAAATTTTAAATAAAATTAAGTGAAATAAAATAGTTCTTGGGAATTATGCGCAATAACTCTTAAAATTCATGGATGTTTAGCCTAATAAAAAAAAGCTGATAGGGATTTACTGCAATTCCTTAAAAATTCATGGGGGTTTTCTGTAATTAACCCTTAGAAAAAAGGTAAAAATACATTTCTATAATTTTGTGATATGTGCTATTCTTTTATATAGATGTGATTTCCTTTTTCGGAGCACTCACCCAACATATTAAAGGGTTGGTTTAACAGCTAATTACTTGGACTCGGTTAACAACATTGTTCAAATTGTGTAAGTTAAATGACGTAACATATGTAACACTGCTAGTGAGTTCAAGAAGCTGCAATCTTAGGAAAATCTTGTTCATGATCGTGTAACAACTTATTGAATTAAGATTGAACAAAAATATAATCTTTCTACGGTAAACAATTAAGATGGAGCATAGCTAAACTCGTCTAAGATGGTGTTCAAACTCCATTCCCTCAACTTCAGGGTTGCTGTATGTAAACACCCCCCACCCCGCGTAACTTATTGCCCCTCATTTTTTCTAACTTAACCCCCTAAAATAATATAATTAAATCTTAAAGGAACACATGATTCAAAATGATCATACTACTCTAAGACATTGAAAATCTTATCATTGTATCCTTTTTCAACTTTTTGGTTAAAAATACCCCTCAATTTTACGCCGCCCCCCCCCCCCCCCCCCCCTGCTCTCGTCTCCATAAGCATTGCTAGATCCCAGCGGCAGGACACAATTTCCCTCTTTTTTGAAAATGCTAAACTTTTTTTTTTACTTTGTAATTATTCATGTTTCTAATTTCTAGAACAATAAAATTTTGAAGATTTGTTTCCTTGTAAAAACACCATCAAATTGAAGTCTAATATTTTAATTGGGTTGGTATTTTAAACTCATAGGTACCGTTTGGCAAAGGGTTAAGTGAGGAGTTAAGGAGACTTAACCCCTTCTTAACCTGCCAAACACAACAAATCTATATAAGGGTTAAAGTGAGTTAACCCTCCATAATTTGCCAAACATAAAAAATATAGAAGGGTTAAATTAACCCCTCTAGAGGGGTTAAAATGAGTTAACCCCTCAAAATGAGAGGTTTACTAATACTCCTATTTAGATGGAATAAGAGTTAACCCTTCTAATTATAAAGAAAATAGTCAAAATCATTGTTATTCCCAAACACTAAAATTGATCATAATGGCTAAAATAAAACTTATTTAACGGGTTAATAATTTAGTCCTTCGGATTATCAAATGGGCTAAGTACATTAATCCTTCTCTTTAACCCCTCTTCATTAACCCTTTGCCAAACGGGGCCATATGGATTTCTCTTTTTAACCAACGGTATCTTAGTTATTGCACACTTCGAATTAACAATGTTAGGAGGGTTATTTGAAAAAATTATAAAGATAATGGGCTTTTGTGAGATACCCCATAGTTAATGAGGGTTTAGTTGTATTTTGAAAGTTGAGGGGGTTTATTTACAACAACCTCAAAATTAAGGGGATGTTCTAGAGTTAAAGGTTTTGTAAAATTAACACTTTTGTGTAACTTTGGCTTGATCCAGGCTCAAGCTTCCTTGTAAAGACTTAATTTATTGAGATGGGGTTCATACCTCAACTCAAATCAGTCTATTTAAGTTGTTAAACAACCTTTTACTCTAGTATTTGAATTCGTTCATAACTCGTTGAAAGTTCTCTGATACCAAATGAAAGTACCCTAGAA